AATGCTTTGACAAATTGATTTCTGGCTGGCGTAAACACAATTCACTATGGATTATTGTGTGAGATGAAACTTAAACGTGTTTTGAAAACATGTAACAGCGGAGAAGACGGTGTGTTTGTGAAATATCGAACGGCGGATGTTAGATAGCTTGTTCTGCTGAAAATAGATAGTTTTAGAAAATAACTTTAGATGTGTGAGGACCCTGGGAACCTTGCAGAAGGAAATTTTAGATTTTGTGAAACAGCGATTCATGGGATGAGTCATGGGGTCAGTTACCTGGTAGTGGTTGATATATTCAGTTGCATCAGAGGAGAAGATAGTGTCTTATTTTTTTTGTTTTCATCATAAGTAATCACTTCTCAGTAATGTCTGTCTCAGATTTTTTTTTCCAAGCCCCTCGGGCAGTTTGGTCTCATCTCACATTTATTTTTAACAGAGGATCACATTCATCCCTTTTCTGCAGTATTTAGCCATAGTTCCAGTGCTACCCTCATTATCAACAGTTGTTTATCCTCAAAATCTCAGTTGGAACTCAGCACACCTGAGCGGGAACAAGAGATGCAACCTCGACTGTCCTACCGCAGAAACAGGAGAGTCCCTCGTGTGTGTATTATTGGCGCATGTGGGTACGGAAACTTTTCTTTAAAACCCCTACAGTATATCTAACCCCTTTTAAAAGTGACTTAAGAAAGCGATGCAGCCTGTGTCTGTGCCCCTTCTCCGACAATTGTCCACACTGGGGTTTTTAAGCGTGGGTCAGCTCCGGCAGACTGCAGCTTGTCAGGTTTTAATGAAACACTCCTCAACAAAGTAATTAGGCTGCTGTTGGCTTTGGGTTGGGATTTACAACCTTCATGAAGCCGCGGCACACTTAAATTAGTCTCCCGATCCCAAGATAAACCCATCTGTTGATTACCATATCAAACTAATGCGGTAGATGTGAATGACCGCAGGAAAGTTTTGACTCTTATGGAGGCTCAAAGTTTTTGTGTGTTATTCAGGGGAAGCATTTGTCTCAAATTACTTATATAAACACATACCCCATAACGTCTTATTCCTTTTCAGACTGAAAGGGTGCTAGAGCCCATCCCAGCATGCTTTAGGTGGGGCGCTGAGAAATACTGCAACAGGTCTTCAGGGGCCACGTGGCTAACAGACTAACACATAATAGTCAATTTCACTCAAACTCACGCACACAACTCTGACCATTTTGACGGGGCCTTGCTCGAGCTTGTTCTGTGTAAACTGTGCAGGGAAAAGAACATGTACCAGGAAGAGTTTTGCTTTGAGAAGAGGAGGGTAAAAGTGGGATTAGTCTGCTTGAGTGTGAAATTGATCAATGCCGTTGAGTTTTATATCAACTGAAATTAACTGTTTTTCTTTAAATAAATGATGAGGTTCTTTGGAGGAGGTTATTTCTTGACTTCAGTCGTCTGTAGGGTCCGAACTTCCCATGATAGTGATAACCCCCTCCCTGATACAGATAAAAACCAGAGGAGGAGCATACTTTATTTATATACCTGCCCTTCATTTTGCTGGAATATGCTTTTTTAAATTTTTATCTAATCACTCTGTTTGAAATTAAATATCTTCATTAAAGTTAAATCTCCACAAATCAAAATGTGCTAAAGTCAAAGGACTAAAATCCCCGGATCATTTTCCACCTGTAGCATCTCTCCTGGGATGTTTGCTCCCACAGAAGCCTGTGTAGAAGATATACTACTAAATTCATATAACATGATGTTCACTCATAGGGTAAACTATGCAGTTTCAAATCTGATTCTAACCCTGAGTCACAGTTTGCACAGGTCTGTGGCTTACACCTGATAGTGTGTGGATTGTTGTGGCCTCTTATGTTTTTTCTGCCTGAAAACATCTGTTGTCCTTTTTATGGATTAATGCAAAAAAGAAATAATCAAACATAAATTCTTGCCTGCAATTTGTGGAAATATTTTCCTTCCGTAGTTTGAGCTTGTTGACCATGGAGAATTGATTGTAGAGTGTGTGACTGTGACTTGTGGTGATGGTGACTGTATACATAGATTGATAGATATTTGGTCACAAATAGAAAAAGCTCTAAACTTTGCTCTCCTAAAGGCTGCCATGTCAAAAATATAGTTGAACCAGTATAATAGACATAGCTAAATTTATGTGACGTGTTTAGTTGCAAATTATAATCATTCAGTCTTAAACTGCCTCTATTCAGATCCAGTGAATAGAGAAGGCTTGAAAAACTTGGGATAAAATGCATGAAGTACGTCCCCCGCACACTCATTATTAAGCAGTTTCAAGTGCTTTAAGTGAATTTGTTGAAACAGATGTCCCAGCCGTCGTCAAGTCCTCACACAGGGGTCACAAAATACAGGTGCAGACTCACTCTGCTTTAAATTTTCACTGGAGAGCCCCCCCCCCCCCCAATTACAGCGACGCTTCTGTGTTCAGCTCCATACCTGTGTGATAACATGATTTACACAGCTGTCGCATTGCAAACGTCTTAATTTCCCATCACGAGACCACAAGAGCAGTTTGACCTCTCGCTTTTCATTGATAAATTGGTTTGTTGTTGACATAGTTCTGGGAGATGATTTGGTTTTGTGTTGCAAAGTTCTTCCCTGCTCCTCCTTGCTTCGATGAGTGTACCTAATTGGTGTACATGAATAGCGGTACCACTAAATCGTATCATTTGTGTTATGATATTGCGAACATTGTTTTTTGGGTGACCCCTCTGTGGGGCCCTATTTTTGTTCTCAGTGGTTTGTCTTTGAGAGACATCGCAGGACTACACAACTTTTCAACTAGAACTGTACTTCAAGTGACAGTTCAAGTGCACTTTGTCTCCCTCTCCTGGAGTTTTAATGGAAATACAAACGCATCCATGTGGTAGTATGTCTGTGCATGTGCACTCTGTTATTTGCTGCATGGAGGAAGCCTCAGAAGTCCTTATCATTTATTTATCACTATTAGTATC